AAAATAATGTCGCAAAAAATTTATCATAAAACAAATATCTGTCAGTTGACTAAGGAAAATAAACTTAATTCAAAGGGGCAACACGATTATTATTTTTCTGACACCACTGACAGATATTTTGACATTTTAAGCATAAACTCACTTCATTTTGAGATTTGTTTTTCAGAAAGTAAGACTTAATTTCTTAATTCATTTTCCTTCTCCAGTAAATGTGTCTTGGTTTAAGAATGTTTAGATATTGGAATAAGAAGACATTTACTGAGTGAGAAAGTGATTTTAGCTGTGTTCTGCTTGGTCTCAGAATCTCAGGGATGCGTTCAGTGTCACACCTGCAGGCTTTCATGTGATGAGGAAGAGCGGCGTGCTCTCGAACGCTCAAACACAGAGGCAGACTGTTTCTCCAGCTGAAATGAGTTCCTCGCCAATAGAAACGAGACCAAAAAAGTCTAAACACTGTGACGTGTCTCATGCACAGCTTCCTGTGGTTGTTTGTGCTGTTGCTGCAGATGAGATGTCTAACACTTTAACCTGCTTTTATCTGAGAGAACGAGAGCGAAAGGGCCGCTGTCTCGCATAACAAGATTTTTACACAATAAAATTGAGCCGTGAGACTTTTCCACTGTAGTCCACAAACGTGAGCTTTGAAAACTTTTTTTCTTAAAGAAGAAAGCTTTATGTTTTAGATATTTTTAAAGATGTTATATTATTTAATTATAAGTCAGCAATAATAGCGTGAATGTCACAAAAAAAATTCAAGAAACCCCAAAATCTAAAGAAAAACAAATACTTTTATTGACATTTTTTCATGGCTGATAAAAAACAATACATTAAAAATAAATAAATGTGGTCCTGATGGGATAATTATGACTGTATAAAGTAATTTTTGCCATTAGATGTGTTTTTTAATGAAAAATATAATACATAAAATATTCTAGTTTTTATTCCTTTTGATTTTGGGGTGAAATACCAAGAAACCCCAAAATTTAAAGAAAAAAAAAACACTTTTGCATTTTACTGGCATTATATGATGGCTGGTTTAAATACAAAAAAATACATTAAAAATAATTGTTTTTAATGTTTAAAGAAAAACTAATCTTTTTTTTTTTTTTGACATAAAAAGGGCCATTTTCAGGACTTAACATTTTGCATTTCATATTTTGACATTATTTCATGACAGTGATTTTAATACGCAAAAAAAAAAATATATATATTGCATCCTGACCAGATAATTTCCATGACTGTTTTATCATGCGTTTTATTTTCTATATGCACGATATAATTTTTGCGTTTTCTATTGATTTTGGGTTGAAATGTCAAGAAACCACAAAATATAAAGAAAAACTCATCTTTTTTTTGCATAAAAAAGACCATTTCTATTTGGGAATTTTGACAATATTTCATGACAGTGATTTTAATACACAAAAATAATAATATATTACATCCTGACCAGATAATTTGCACATATAAAGCATTTTTTGGCATTTTTGCTTGAATGTCATGAAAAAAAAAAAAGTCACAAATACTGTTGATGCAAAAAATCTTTTTCTTTTGATTTTGGGGTTAACTGTGACCTGGCCGTTTGATGTTTGTTTGCTTTGTTTGGCTGTAGTTTTCCGGCGTGGCGTTTCTGAATCTGCTGTCCTCCTCTGATTCTCAGCACACTCTTGTATTTGTCTCTCTCCCTCCGTTTCCTCCTTCCTCTTTCCTGCACAGCTTCCTGGGCTGTTCCTCCTTCCCCTCCGTCCCTGCCCAGCTCTGTCCCCTCTTCCTCCTCTCTTGCCGGGGCTCGTCTCATTCCTCCTCTGCTGAGGGAGCAGTCCTGGAGCATTCACCCTCACCAGGCCTTTCTGCTCTTCTGTCTGGCCGTGGGTGAGTGCTGCCTCTGACCTTTGACCTCTGACCTTTCACTCTCACTCATCAATCTCGTCTCAATACTCTGAAGTGTGACTTCCTTTCGCTCCTCCTGCACTATTAAGTGTTCCGATTGGCCGAGGAGCCAGAAGTCAGACAGGAAGTCAATGAAGAGTATTTAGACAGCGTTTGTGTGTCTGCATGTTCCAGATCTTCTGCACACCGTCTGATGCCTAATATGTTTTGGGATTTTTTTTTTTTCCAAAAAGTATGAATAAGCTTATTAGTAAATCATTTTAGAATTTCCTTCATTTTTATTTTCACTTCAAAATTCTCTTCAGATCCTAATTTATGATTATGGTTTTGCTTTTGCCACTTTTGTATGGTTGTTTTCCCTGCTGACATGAGTCTTGGACTTGTACAGGAAGATGATTGACTGAAGGACTGATGGACGCTCCAGTCCTGTACAGTGTAAATACAGTATATGTACATATGAAAAAGCTTGAGATGTACAAAGTTTCTTCGAATCTTTTTGGTAGAGAGCCTGAATAAATTTTTGAATGGCAAAACATGTGAAACGCTGTTTATTGTGTTGCGGTGTGTTAGTGAAGCTGTATATCATGTGTTTTAACATGCCAACTCATGACAGTATGGATATAACTTTGCACAGCAGACTGATTTTTGTCTCAAAGACGTATGTGTGACTGTGAGATTTCCTGTGTTGATCAGCAGCATTTCACTGATGCTGGAAATCATGTTTGTATGTCATTTAACCCTCGTGCTGCGGAAAATCCTTTACCTTATTTGCTTTTCCAAATGAACAGCCTTTAAAAATGGCTTGTAAATCTTTCATTATGCTATATGGTCACCAAAACGTGGATTCAATTGTTTTATCAACTTGTCTTCTTTCAGTTAGCACAGGTTTTTTGATTTCTTCTTTGATCCTAGGCCTCATTAATCGTAGCTCATTCACCTCAGTTTTTGAGTGAATATTGGCCAAATTATCTACAAATAATGCTTTTTTTTTTTTTTCAAGTTCCAAAAGTAAAAACCTATGTTAATTGAAAGAAAACAAATTTTAAAAAGATTGAATCCAGTATATGGCAATAATGTCTTAATGAGAAAATTATGAGCAATTTTTGTATGCCAGTCATTTTTGACCAGGAGCACCACAAGTGTAACAAGATGAGAATTTTTTTATTATTTTTATTATTATTATTAGTTTTAAGTAGGTTTTAGTCCAATGCAATAACATTAAACTAGCATTTTCAGAAAGAAAAAAAAATCCTCTCCAGGTCAAAATGCCTGGAACAAAACATGAGGATAAAAACATTTATTAATTTATGCATTAAAAAAATTAAAGAACCTAAGTTTTTTTTTCTTTCAAAAAAACATGTGGGAATACAGAGAGAGAAAAATACAATTAGTTTCAAATTGTTATATATATGGGGTGTTTTTAATGCTTTTTTTATTGGAGATTTTTTGAAGTGATGATGCAGCCTAAGCAAATACATGGATAGTATTGCTGGTTTATGATCTGAACCTACCGTTTATTATGCATGTCGTATGAGAGTGTCATAACACAAACAGCATGATGGTGCTTTCGGCTGTGAATGGAAGATCATTTGAAGTGTCTTGTTCACACTGAATGTGTGTATACTGGAGTGCTAATTACCCTGTAGGATCCATATGTAAGTGCAGTTTTCCTTCAGGTCCTAGAGATGTAAGTGTTGAGTGGCACATAAACGGGCAGAAGCACGAGACTCGCGTCACTGAATACAGACATGTGGTTTCCCATGATGCCGTGCTGGTGAGCAGCTGGCTGAAGGAGGAAACTTTGAATAAAGACGTCCAGTACGAGTGTACAGCAGTGTCTGAAGCGGGAAACGACGTGTCTAAAGTGGACCTTCGGCTCAACAGCAGAGGTAAAGTGTTTCATCGCACTGCTGTGTTAGTCTGACCTGTAACGTGGTGTATCATGTCTCTGTTTGCTCGCAGATGAGGCCGGCGTTCCTCTCAGAGACGTGGAGCGCTGGAAACACGCTCTGACCGACCACAACACACTCCTGCAGCAGTGGAAGAAAGCATGGGTGAGTGAGAAAGACACAAACAAGTGAATAAATCACAGCATAATTGATTTTATAACACATTTTCTGAATGAAATGAAAATGTATGAATCATCAGGAATGATATTTCACAGTTGCACAACTGTTTTCAACACTGATAATAATCAGAAATGTTTCTTGAGCAGCAAATCAGCATATTAGAATGATTTCTGAAGATCATGTGACACTGAAGACTGGAGTAATGATGCTGAAAATACAGCTGCGCATCACAGAAATAAATTACAGTTTAACATATATTCATATAGAAAACAGTTATTTTAAATTGTAATAATATTTCACAATTTTTACTGTTTTATTGGGTTTGTGATCAAATAAATGCAGCATTGGTGAGCAGAAGAGACTGATCCCAAACTTTTGAATGTTATAGTTCATGTTTGATTTCAGACGCATTTTGGCTCACTGCACACATCTGTTGAAGGTGAAAGAGGCTTCGTCCAGTATTTATAAAAGCTGAACCAAAGATATCTGCATTATTTATTTATAATGCATTTCCACATTTAAAGTGCTGCCTCATCAGACTTAGGGTTGGTACTGAGCTCAGTTAGACATAGAAAAGCTTCCTTAAAATTGTTCCAGTAAATACTGAAAAAAAAAAATTCATATTTATTTTATTTTATATTATTTTATTTTTTTTTTGTTGTTGTTTGTTTATATATATATATTTTTTTTATAATTTATATTTATGTTATGTTATGTTATATGTTGTTATGTTATATGTTATGTTGTTATGTTATATGTTGTTATGTTATGTTATATATTATGTTATGTTGTTATGTTATGTTTTATGTTATGTTATGTTATGTTATGTTATGTTATGTTATGCTTCATTAAACACATTTGTCTTCTGTAGGCTGAAGATCTCAGCATATGTTTGTGATGATGATGCTGATGTTTGTTGTTTATCGTTGTTGTCCTGTAGGAGAGCTGTGATGGACAGGGTGTTCTCTGAACCGGCTCATTATCGCTCATCATGGCATCATTTTCTGACTCCAGGGACAGACGCTTGGACGAGAGCGCACACACAAGGCTGTTTGAGAGCCGTGGAGGATGTGTGCAGTGAGACGGGCCTCTCCGGCTGATGACCGTCCACACACTTCTGTTTATACTCCCTCCATCCTCGAGAGCAAATGACACCGGCTCATGTTAGTGAAAGCAAGATTTGAGTTTATAATATTGTGTTAATTAAATAATCACGTGTGTTTATCTGAGCAGATATATTTCAACTTTCTAGAATATATTTTGTCCTCAAAAATAGAGGTTGCAACCACAATAAATTATATTTCTATCATTTGTGAGAGTCTTTAACCATGTTTTTTAAACATATCTGAAGTGTTTAGTATCATTGAGATAATATCATAGTTTTTATTAATATATATATTTTTGTTCATTTTCCATTTTCACTTTAATTTGACTTAAGGTTGTAATATATTTTTTTATGTATAAATACTTTAATTTTTATTTCAGTTTTAGTTTTGTTAAACTGAACTGAAATGAGAAATTAACTACCTGGAAAAACAAAACAAAACAGTATTTATTGAGATACTATTTTAGTTTTAGTCATTTTAATTACTTTTTATATTTTCTGTTTTCAATTTAATTTAAGTTAAAGTTTGTCATTTTTTAAATTTATTTTATTTTATTTTAGTACATCAAGTTAATCAAATGTAAAAGTATTTTTTAATATCTATATAGTTTTTCATTTTAATTTTTGTTATTTTAGTACATCAATTTAAATTTATAATTAGAAATGTTGCATTGGCAACTAGTTGAAATAAAAATGTTATTTCAGTTAACGTTTATTTTATTTTACAAATAAAATGGTTGTTTTTAGTTTTAGTGAATGATAATAACCCGGATTTACATAAGTTCAGTCTGTTTTGAGCTGTAGGTTTGTATGCAAACATAAAAACTTTAAAAACATAAAAAGTTTTGTGGCTTCTCTCCATGTCAAGGTCAATGCTGTCGTCATTTATCCTCATCCAAAGGTCAGCACACATTTCCCAGACCCCTCTGACCTCTGAGATGACCATATGACTGTTAACTAACCCACACAATCAGCTGCCAAGAAAAGACTCCTATATCAAGTCCTGTGCTGCTTTACCAGCTGATCACACACACACACACACACACAACTCTTAACAACCTATTAAAGTCATTGTTTAAACCTCTGAACAAGGGAAGGTGACCTCCCAGTCTCTCATCCATTCATCTTTCTGCATAAAAACCAAAACTGGACAGATATAGTACATACAAGTGTTTCATTTAAGCCTTTAAATCACATTTTATAGATCAGTAACTAATGTTTTGAAAACTAGCATGCAATTATTGTATGCACATACAACATTATTATGCAGCACAGCTGTCGCACAAGGCACTGTCAGAACATTTTCCACAAGATTCTCAATGCGATCATTTATAGGTGAGCAAATGGTTTTATCTTGTGGTTTGAGATTTTCACCTCTTCCTCAGTTCATTAGGAGCATATTTTGCCACATGCAGGATGTGGTTCTTCAGAAACAGGAAATGAGTGAGATCCAGCCACAGGTGAGTCGATTTAACGAAAAATGAATTTAATTAAAACCCACTTTGATGAAACACAGACTTAATAAGCATTTGTAAGTAGATTTGGTCATGACCCAGCAAAGACCAGAGACATTTATGATGACTGAACAGGCCTGTTTAATGTTTCACAGTCCAAACCTAGTGGCGGTTGTCATTTTGACAGCTATCGAAGTCATACAACAAGCAAATGTTGTGATTATCGTCTTATATTAAGTAAAGCCAAAGATGTCTGGATAAGCAGAAGCATTAAATCAAATAATTGATATTTAGAGGAACAAAACTGGACTCGTATGGCAAACAATAAAACGTAAATGCAACGATAATCTGAAATCTGATAAAACAGATATAGTTAAATATTCTGCCTTAATTATGATCGTAATTCTTCCGCCAAGCAGAGCCGGCCCGACGTAATATGCGATATAAGCGGTTGCATAGGGCCCCGTGGCCTCCAGGGGGCCCCATGTCAGGGTTCAGACGGTAATGCTCGACAATAATAACTTTTATAAAGTTTCAGTCCCGTGTGTTAATGTTTGAAAATGAAGAGGCGGAACTATAAAACTGGTGCAGACTGCAGAGATGTGGGAAAAGAAAGTGAGCAACATAAGGGTACGTGATGGATTTTGAAAATATATTGTTGAAATAGCTTTTGCTGCATCGTGCTGCGAGCGCTTTGAAGACGCGCGGTGCCAGTGTAACAACAGTAATGAACATGAACGGTATTGTTGTCTTGGGCTCTTCAAAATACGCGGATAATTCTTATCAAAATTATTATCAGAATGGTTTAGATTTTTAGAAGCATATATGATCTTATTTTCCATCGACCAGTTAAGTTTTACAACACTGCGCTGCGCTTTTGCGGTGTAAAAGTTTGGTCAGATTTTCTCATTGTTGTGAACAAAGCTGCAGACGTGCTGAATAAAAATGCAAGTTCACTCTGACAGCAGGTGGCGCTTTAGGAACAGCAGAAATAGACCGTTACCATGGTTACCCCTCTACACAAGCGCAACTTCTGACACCTGCTTGTTTGTCACGGAGGTCAAAGGAAGTCAAACAGTATTTACATGTTTTCAAACAGCCATTCAGATTTTTTTATCACTTTGGTGTTTATAACACAAATATTTAAATATACCATATCTTTATTCAAACATTTGTTTACATTTTTGCATTTTAATCAGGAATAAAACATGCCAGCCCAAAATGTATTATTTTGTATTATTATTGATAATAATAATAATAATAACAATAATAAATTATTCTCTTTAATTTTCATAATCCAGGTGTTCTTGCTTTATTAAAGCATTAATCTCACAAAATTTTCATACATTTTTCTGAAAGCAACTTAAAAGTTTTAAATAATTGTTAAAAGTGCTTAATTAAATATATCTTGATATTTATGTATTGAAAGATAAACACACGAGTAGATGATTAAGACAGTTTGGTAATTTTTTACAACAGGGTCATTATAGTTAACACAAAAAAGAAATTTACTTGAAATAAAATGAATGTTAACTGAAATAAAATACTTACACGGTTTTATTTTAGCTAGTTGACAAGGCAACATTTCCCGTTTTCATTTAGTTTACCTTGATGTTCTAAAAGAACTAACACTAAAACTGAAATAAAATGTAATAACTACAGAAAATCAACAAAACTAATAAAAACAAACAAAAAAAATTACTAAAACTTTAAAATGAAAATGACAGCAGAAAATATAAAAATAATTCAATATATTAACAAAAACTATAATAGCGCATGAATGATACTAAAATAACATTGCTTTACAATAAAGTGTCAGTGTGTGATGTATACGATGGGGGATGGGGGGTGGTTATGAAGAGGCCCCTCTTTTGAAAATCTGCTTAGGGCCCCCGAAATGCTTGGGCCAGCCCTGCCGCCAAGTATTATAGTTCCTTCCTCTAAGCAATTTTGTGCATTAATACAGAACATGTGGACTATTCATTGTGGATGTGTTTTATAATATTGACTGTGTTTATAATATTTAAGGTGTTTGTAAAATCACTCGACTGAAAAACTGTGAGGTGGCGACAAACCACACTTTTTGACCGCATGACCAATTGAAACCGTGATAATGGTGATCAACAACACCATCCAACTCAAATGTATTAAAAAAGGAGCACATTTGTATTTTATTATTGTATTATAATTTATCCAAACTAACAAATGTGGAATACAACATGAACGGTGCATCTATAAGTGGGTTACAACTACATATTTTCTTTTTAAATAGTTGTGCTTTAAAGGGTAAGTTCGCCGATTTTATACCCACTTTGTATTATTTCGACAGCTACAAGGCATTTTTAAAAAAAACTACAGATCGTACTTCCGCCTTTTTGTATCCCTGGTCACGTGTCGTCTGATCGAGCCCAGTGCATTATGGGTGTTGACGTTTTCCTACCTTTTTCGCCACAGCCCTTGGTTTTCTCTAGTCGTGTAGCACAATTTTTAATCGCATTTCTACTGCATAGACAGCCAAATTTTATTAAAACCCTATCTTGCCAGCCGTGAATTAGACCTTTTACAATTAAGTCCAGTATTTCGAATGTTTTTCAAACCGAACCATACCGTTAGTTGCGATGTGGCGCCATCGTGTGTTGAAAGTTGTGAAGTGCTGATAGAGGAACCTCGCATAAAGCACATATGAGGTGGCATTTTAATACATTTTTTTATTATAAAGAGCAGCAAGAATAAAATAACAATTTACACAATCACAATTCTATTCTTTTTCAAAAGTAATTTGCGATGAAGGGTGAAAACTTGTTCTTTTCTCTTTCAAGTAGCACAGTTGCTGATAGTGCTGTCGTCATGGCTCTTCTTCTATATCTACCTTTTTAAGAAAGTTTTATATGTGATATAAGCACATTTTAAACTTTATAAAGCATCTATACAGTATCACAATCGCCTTCCCTGAAGAAGTAATGTAAACTAAGAATTTCAACCTGAGAATGGCCAATATATTAACTAGATATACACAAAGGATCTCCCTTTAGCATACAGTACATCTTTTATCCCAAAAAATGTATTTAGCTCAGCCACTTAAACACTGATTTAGGTTTCTAAACACTGATGATGCATCACAGACTTTTATTCAACACAAATCTTTAAAGGTTTAGCTTCACTCAGAGAGGCACTTGAGTCGCATGATTTTTTCTTTCTTTCCAGAGTTAAGAGCCCTTAAATTTTCACTGAAAATACATTTGCCACAATCCCTTGATTCTGTCCGAGCATGACGTGAAACGCAGCATCATGGTCAAAGGAGTCCAGAAAACGTGGTTAAGTTCTCCAGTAAGTTCTCACTGAAAACCACAGGAATGTTCCTGACGTGTCGCTGTCATTGTTTTGGTAGAGGTCGCCTAAACAGCAGAATATGAGGTTCTGAAAAATAAAATATAATCAAATGTCAGGCTTTTTTTTCCATCTATAATAACTTTAATATTAAAAGGAGTAGTTCACTTCCAGAAAAAAATTCCCTGATAATTTACTCACCCCCATGTCATCAAAGATGTTCATGTCTTTCTGTCTTCAGTCGCAAAGAAATGAAGGTTTCTGAGGAAAACATTCCAGGATTTTTCTCCATATAATGGACTTCAGTGGGGACAAATTCTTTCGAGATGCAGTTGTCTGCTATACTACCTGCATTCATTTTAAAGCTCTAAACTCTTACTGTACATCAACAATTTCA